TTCTTTCCAAAGCTACCACCTGTTCTAGGAGCCACTGTGGATCCAGGAGCTCACCTACTCCAAGACCACACAAAGCTCAAGCTGTTCCCACTGTTCATTCTCACTGTGTGCATAATGCAAGCATGCAGGGTTTTTAGGTGAAGCTCTGAAGCAGGATTAGAAGAAGAGGTTGCAATCACAATGCTAAAATTGGATTTTGAGTTAGTGAATATATGAATAGCAATAGATTTCAGTAAAGCCTAAAAGGTATAAAAATATCCTTTATAAGTACTTATTTTGACATAACTTTTTAAAGATTTCATTCAGCTAAAATACTATTATTAAAGAATATATTAATGCATTGCAAAACAACCTTTAAACTGTTACTGCTCTGTACATCACCTTTATAATAACAATAAAAATTTTAACAAAAGGATTTACTAAGTCAAAACCTCAGAGGTATGTAGAGGACCACTGAATTTTGAAAATGTCATAAGGTATTTATTTGAAAACTATTGAAATGTGAAAACGAACATACACACACACACACACACACACACACACACCCTTTAGCAACAGAATTATAATTGTATCACCTAAGGTTGAATAATGATGATATCCTAAAATATTATCCTAGCGTAAAATGCAATATCTATAAAATTCACACTCAGAAACTTCATTGATAGGTGCGTGCACACGCACACATGCACACACACACACACACACACACACACACAATTGAGAAAAGTTTGACTCAGTGGATACAATTGACCAAATAAATGTAATGGAAGCAATTTCCTTTGACCATATCTTAGAAACTATGCAGCATGATTTTGGAGTGTGTTTCTTTGCTTGTTTTCCTTTGATATGCTTTGATTACTGGAGCTTTTGGTTAAAGAGATATGTTTTTTTATTTGGTGTCTAATATATTCACCAGCTACTCTCATGTAAGATTTGCATTGTATAAGATAAAATTTATTTTTTTAACTCCCTTATCAAAGATTAGGTGGCTATAGGTCTGTGGGTTCATTTCTGGGTTTTCTGTTCATTTCTGGCTATCTTGTTGGTCTTCAGGTCTCTTCTTGTACCTCTTCAGTAAATGGTGCTGGCAAAATTGGTTAATCACCTGTAGAAAACTAAAACTAGATCTTTATATATTATGCACCAGAATCAATTCCAAATGGATCAAAGACCTCGGAGTGAAAGCATACACCCTGAAAACATTACAGGATGGAATAGGAGAAACCCTAGGTCTCCTTGGCACTGGCTGAAATTTTCTTAATAGAGACCCAGAAACACCACCACAAATCAAAGAAAGGTTGGACAAATGGGACTGCAAGAAGCTGTGGAGCTTCTGCATGGCAAAGGACATAGCTAGCAAGATCAATAGAAGCCCAAGGATTCGAAGAAGGTCTTCAGTAGCCATACAACAGACAAGGGTCTCATATCTAAAATATACCTGGAACTCAAAAAATTAAATCCCCCAACAACAAATTCTCAAAGACACAACTGCCTGATAAATAAGTGGGCTAAAGACTTAAAAGAAACTTCTCTGAAGAAGAAATAAGAATGGCCAATAGACACAAGATGCTCAAGCTCTCTAGCCATAAAAGTAATGCAAATCAAAACAACATTGAGATTCCACCTCACCCCAGTTATAATGGCTATAATCAAGAACTCTAATAACAACAGATTCTGGAAGGGATGTGGACAGAAGGGAACCCTACTGCATTGTTGGTGGGAGTGTAAACTTGTTCAACCTCTTTGGAAAGCAATATGGAGTTTCCTCAAAAGACTCAACATAGAGCTCCCCTATACCCAGCAATCCCACTTTTAGGCATTTACCCAAATGATCACAAACAAGACCATACTAAAGCTACCAGCACAACTATGTTTATTGCAGCATTTACCATAGCTAAGATATGGAACCAACCCATATACCCTCAGTAGTTGAATGGATCAAGAAAATGTGGTATATATATATCTATCTATATCTATATCTATATAGATATAGATATATACAATGGAATTCTATGCCTCCATGAGAAAGAATGACATCACCTCATTTGTTAGGAAATGGAAAGACTTGGAAAAAATTATATTAAGTGAAGTAAGCCGGGCCCAAAGAAACATATGTCCCATGGTTTCCCTAATTTGCAATTACTAGTATATATATCTGGGACAAGCAGAAAAGGCAAAATGCTATGTACATATGACCAGATAAGATGAAGTTAAGCGAAATGAACCCCAAGATAGGGACACAAGTGGTTTTTTTCTTTCTTGCTGTTGTTTCTAACGTATTTATAGTGTACCATGTGATTTTTTTGTTGCTTTGTATGATCCTCCTCCATGGTATAACCCCTGTTTTCACTGTATTTGATGTTGATCTAATTTGGGGAGGAGAAGGCAAAAAACAAAATGATTAAATAGGGATACAGATTGACCCATTGTAACAATGAGATGTACAAGACACTATGTTGAAAAATGAACTTTACAATTTAGGCAAGGGAGGGAGGTTAGTTGTAGAGGTGGGAGGGAAGGGATAGTAGGGGAAAAACAAAGGAAGATGCAACAATGCATGATAGGAAATATACTCATTACCTTGCTCATGTAACTGTAACCCCTCTGTACAGTATTTTTACAATTAAAAAACTTACTAATAAAAGATAAAATTTAAACTTAAATTTAAAATTTAAACCTCACTAAACGTGGTGTTTCTAAACGTGATTATTATATGTAAGTGCAAAAGATCCCTGTACTTTTCTCCAACATATATAAAAATCTCACAGTAGAACTTAAATTTTTGAGGTCATCTGAGGTCATTGCCTTGCTTATTGGATATGGCATGCTGTATAAAAGCACTTGGGAGTAAAAGCAATGTCTTTGCAGTATATTGAACGTTGAAGCTGTGACTTATCCTTAATACTCTAAAAGGGGAAAAAATAGACAATAGAAATGGCTACATGTTCATTGGGTGGGGGACTCTAATAAGAAGACTATTGATGTTTTTATTTTTCATACATTTAAAAATACTTTTATTATCTTTAAGTAGTTGTACAAAGGAGTTACAGTTTATGAGCACTGTGTAAATTGATCAACATTGCCCCTTTCAATATGTACATCTCCCCTCTCAACCCATTCCGCCCTCACTTTGTTAATTTTTTTAGGAGATATGTTGATTTTTTTCACCATTTAACAGAATGTTGATGTATACAGTGCATCTTGATCTGTGTCATCCCTTCAATTTTCACCCCCCTCTGACCCACTCCTTCGCTTTTTTTTTCCTAATTTTGTTAATAAGGTTTGTCCTTTTCTTCACACACAAAAAGAACACTGGACTCTTAGATACTTCTAATGAACACCATCTAATGGGAAAAGGAATTGTTTCACTATTCTTGACGTTAGCTACCTAGCATGAAGCTAGTAGGAACATTACTGCCATTCTTTGATGGTAGAAGATTTTAATGTTACTGAAAAATGTCTTTAATAATTCCTTAAATGTGTTAATTGACTTATTAATTTCTCCTGTAATTTTTAAAGTCATGACATAGACTAATCTGTTAATTTGTATGATAGAGATCAAAATGCAATTGATTTGATTTTTTCAACAGAAAAATGTAATTAAAATACAAGACATAATTTAAAGAATATATCGAGTCTTTTACTTGAATAGTCATTATATGAGAGTGAACATTTCCCATGGTACCATGTAATTAAAATAAAAATTTACAGGGCTAGAAGTGTAACACAGTGCTAGATAACTTGCCTTGAATATGCAAGACCCTAGGTTCTAGCCAGGCACTGGTGGTTTATTCCCATAGTCCTATAATCCTAGCTATATCAGAGGTAGAGAAGATTATGGTTTCAGACCAGCATGTAGGGGAGGGGTGAACAGTCCTCATCACACATATACCAAAATAATAGCTGACCATGGTTCTTACCATCCCAGCTATAGTGGGAAGAGTAAATAGGAGGATTGTGGTTCAGGCCAGCCCATGAAAATAGCAAGACTCTATCTCAGAAATAACCACAGAAAAAAGGCTGGAGGTCTGTGGATCAAGTGGAAGAGTATCTGTCTGCCCCCCACATGAACCCCTGAGTTCAAACTCCAGTTCTAACAAAAGAAAACCATCCTTTATCTGACCTGCAAAACATTCCCCTGAACTGCAAGAAAATAAGGAAGTAAGAACAACAGAAATAAACCCACAGAAGGGGAATAACAAAGTGCTGAAACAAGGTCACAGGACGACCCATTGCCACAGTGAGACACACAAGACACTATGTTGGAGATGAACTTTACCAATTGTGGGGGTGAGAGTCGGGGAGGTAGGAGAGGGAAGGGATAGAAGGAGAAAAACAAAAGAGAGGGTAAAAATTTTCAACAAGAAATGTACTCATTTCCTTATTCATGTAACTGTAACCCCTCTGTACAGCATCTTTACAATAAAATAAAATTTACAAAGTAAACCCCACAATACTACAATAACCAGCACTCTTCGTTGAAAGGCATCAGTGCCAGGTTCTGTGTTGTGTGAGCACTGTGTATGATCTTGTCATTTATCGTGTAGCTGTTATGCACGCAGAATAAAAACCTCATTGCTAAACGTGCGTTGTATTGCTAGCCCAACAGCTACTCCACAGCTGCCCACAGCTGTTATTTTTTCCATAATGGCCTTCCTATCCTCCAAACTCACCCAGTTCTCTCGACCCTTTATTGTTCCTTCTTAGGAGAATGCCCATTCAAATCTGTGGTGACATTTCATTCAGATTACTGCTCAGATGTGGTCTTCGTGTGGCCACAGCAAATAAAGAAATGCCAGTATGACACTGTCTTATTGAACATAATGCATAGCTCTTTCTTTTCCCCTAGCTCTCCTGTTTTTGTGATGCATTAGTCATTAGTGAATATGAAAAGTACTCTGTAAATCGTAATACAAATGTGATGCCATTCAATTTTTAAGTATTTAAACATTTTTAATACTTCATCTTTCACCCGTTTAAAAGTGTCTGTGTGTTTTCAGATAATCACAAGGACTGCTCTGGCGTGTCCTTACATCTCACACGTCTGCCGTAAGTCCCTCTGTTTTCCCAGATGATTCAGAATAGTTCTAAGATCTTTGAAATATTAAAAGGGGTGGATGAACTGTTTTAACTATCTCTTATGTAAAACAGGCTAACAAATTTACTGATTTAGAACAACAAATGTTTATCACCTAAATGCCCTGTGGGTGAGGAGTCTGCCAGGTGTCTTACGATTTTGCTCAGTCAACTCTGGACTCCCCCACAGAAGTCACCTCTAGTCATTAACATAGTTGTTAGAAAGAATAATTTGTTGTCTGTGGAGCTCCCTCATTTCTTTCTATACGTACAATAAACAATATAGCTCACTATATAACAACTGGCTTTAAGCCCAGACAATAAGCAACAAAAGCAAACAAGGTTTAATGAAATTATGAGCCAGGGTTATTTTGTGATCAAATCTTAGAAGTAACATGCCATCACACTGGCTGTATTATTAGAGATAAATTTCTAAACCTATATTTCTGTTCACACTCAAGGTGAGGGGATTAGGCAAAGACACAAGTGTCATAGCTAAGAGTTATGATAACTATATTAGTCAGGGGTTCTCCAAAGAAACCTTAATTAATGGTGGGAGAAGGAGGAGAGAGGATTGAGTAGAGCAGAGAGAAATGAGAGAAAGAGAGGATTTTTTTTTCTCTTAAGGCCTTCAATTGATTGAATGAGGTCCACCCACATTATGAAGAATAATCTGCTTTATTTAAAACCTGGTTTAAATGTTAACTACACCGAAAAAAATTACTTCCTCTACAACACGTAGACTGGAGTTAGACTCAACAGCAGGTACCATGGCCTACTTAAGTTAGCCCATAAAGCAGACATTGCAGAAGCCATTGACAGTTGTCCTTCACAGAAACAGAAACATGTTCTAAAAAACAAAATTCTACATATTCTGTCTGTTTTTCCATTTTTGTTACATCTTAGTTTTCAAATGAATTAAACCAAGATATGAGTAGATACATTTTTTCTAAAAATATACATTTGGCTTTATCACATAATTAAGAAAAATACTTTTCTCTGCAGACAGCCTTTAATTGCTGGCATGTACCTTATGATGTCTGTGGACACTGTTATACCAGCAGGGGAGAAAGGTGAGTCATTATATAACTAATCTATAGAATCCAAGTCACATTATGTCTTTAATAATCTTACAGAATGGCTGGTATTAAACCTGAAAAGTATACTGATTCTTTAGCATCCTTGGATTTAAAATAGGTTTTTATATTATTCTAAGCCAATGGAAGGTTATGGGTAAGTTATATAACTGAAAGAACAAGTTTGGATAACAAATCAATCATCCATTCTTTATACACAAAAAATAAACTACATAATGCTCATAAATGTTATAAAATATTGCATTAAAAGTCTCAAAGCCCAGAGCTTTAGCAAATCTAACACTACAGACTCTTAGAATTTAATAAACTCATTTTTCTACTTGCAAAATGAAGACTATGATGTCCGATTCTCCAAAGCTAAACATAAAGACGTTTTGAGAATAAGTATGCTATTTAGCAGTATATCTAAAGTAATAGAAATGTTGCATAAAATACTGTTTGTTTGGGATGTGAATCTTATCAAAGTATATGATCTCTAAGTTTCTTTTTTACTGGACATATATTGTGTCAATGCTAGACTTTAAGGAAGAAAAAGCATTTGAAGTGGCCCCTTCTCAACAGGAACTGCCAATCTAGTGGTTTCAGGTGCTTGCATTCAATCTTTCAAAAGTCATTTTGTTCCAAAAATAAAAATCAATCATTAAGCCTTTCCAACTGGATGCATTTCAAGATACAGGTAACAGATTTTGCTTGTGTTTTTACTGACAGGATATTTTGATCTGGTCTTAGTCATTTTGTTTATAAATAAAAGAAAAATGAGAGGCAAAGGGTTCTTAATTCATCTGAGTGCAATGGCAGGCACAGGATAAGAGCACAATGTCTGCTAAGCACTAAATGATGGTGGTCACTTCACCAGGAATCCCAGTACCAGCACCTTGCATCGCTTTAGACAAGAAAAACTGCACTTGTCTAGTAGGATAGTGATTTTTCTCTCCTTGTTTTTGTTTCCTACAGTGGTGAATTCTGACATTTCATGTCATTATAAAATGTACCCGATGCATGTCTTTGCCTATAGAGTTCACACTCATCGTTTAGGTAAGGACCTTTAATGACATATACCATTATAAGTATTTACCATTATGGTAGCTACTCTTCTTGATGTAAAATGGAAATTATGCTTGACTTTAAGTCAGGTGTCATTGGGAAATGTAATTTTTACACAATACCTTGAATTGTTTGTTTTATCATCTTGTCTTCCCTAAGATACTCAGTATTGGGGGTTCTGGAAAAATTCAGGTTTTACTTTAAATGAAAGCAGACTGGTCCTTTTGTTTTTTCAAATACAGTACTGTATATCACATGACTATAACTTGTCTTCATTCAGGTAAGGTGGTCAGCGGATACAGAGTCAGAAATGGACAGTGGACTCTGATTGGACGCCAGAGCCCCCAGTTGCCCCAGGTGTGTAGAATCCAATTTTAAGAGGAAAAATATTAATCACAGAAAATTATTATTAAAAATCCTGATGTAGCTCTTGCTAACTCCTCTAAATATCTAAGTTTCCAAATCTACCTTTACTATGTATCTGAGTTGTAAGACTTACCATATTATAATTTCCAACATGGCTTCTTCCTCAACAGTAACCACACATGATGATCAAGTTTTTTGTCCTCTCACGTAGCCAAAGAATGCTTCAAACAGAACTTATGTTATTACACTTACTCTCATTTTTATGTGATGCATTTGTGAAAACTGTTTATTCCAAAATTGGGTACCTGGGCCATCATGTAGAATTGATTGTGGGTATGTGCGTATGCACCCTTCTGACTGTCTGTCTGTGGGTCTGTCTGTCTGTATCCTCTCTGCCTCCAGAGTTGTAAGCCTCACATTACTCAAGTTCTTCAGTTTCAGGGGGTTCTTGACTAGTCTGATGAATCATGCTGTGATCTTTTGGTCAGGCATTCTACCCTGTGGAACACCCGGTCGATGTGACTTTTGGTGACATCCTGGCAGCAAGATGTGTATTTACTGGTGAGGGAAGGACAGAGGCCACACATATTGGGTAAGATTCTGTACTTTCCACTGTTTAAAGAGATTTGATTAAGACAAAGCATACCTGTGAGTGGCAGTCATTTTTGTGAATGAGTTCTGTATATGTGGGGAATCATTTACAATTACAACAAGTAAGCATTTTATCTTTTTTTTGGGGGGGGGGGGTCGGTTGTGGGGCGTGAAATCTGGGCCTGGGCACTGTCCCTCAGCTCTTCAGCTCAAGGGGAGCATTCTATCACTGAGCCACAGAGCCACTTCCGGTTTTCTGAGTGGTTTATTGGAAATAAAAGTATCACGGACTTTCCTGCCAGAGCTGGCTTTGCACTATGATCCTCAGATCTCAGCCTCCTAAGTAGCGAGGATTACAGGCATAAGCCACCAGTGCCTGGCTATCATTCTAAATTAGTGATTTGAATAAACTCCAGAATGTGGGGTCATTTTTGCATGTTTCCCTCAAGCTTCCTCCATATGTCTTCATATCATAATTCCTGCAAGATAATATAGTACTCCTTCACACTCATTGTAGTAAAAAAAAAATAGTATGATTATGAACATTTCTTTTCTCAAGAATCCCTTTGACTTAAATTCAAATACAGGCAAATATGGCTTTGAATTTGATATAAACTTAATAATCAAAAGCATGACTTTCTACCTGTTAAAACTTCTGACTGTTCAAGAGTTTTCTTCTTTTGTAGTCTATAAAGTAAATATAACAGTATACAGCACTTGTACAAAAAGGGATTTTAAGACTACTGAGTCATTTCCAAACACTGAACCTTCTTGAAAGAACTGTATTTTATTACACCAAGTAAATTTTTCAAAGCATTGTGTACTCTTTCAAGAAGATACAACGATAAAAGATTAAAGATAAAATCTCGTGGTTAGCTTTTTTGCTATACAAAATCAGGGAGCTTTCCTTCTATGTTAAATTATTTTAAGATACTTCTTAAGGCCACTTGGAATCTACACTTCTAAGACGTCAATGTCTTGACCAGAGAGAAATTACAGAAAGTAAAGATCTAAAAAGACATGAGACTCTTATAACTAACATCAGGAGACAGGTTACACAGAAGTATTTGATAAAGAGGGATTGGATATTTTATGTCACTTTTATATAAGGATATAATATTAATAAGCACCATGTTAAGTCTAAAGGTAGAACAAATAGACAAATATTGGCAGTTAACAAATAGACAAATATTGACAATTTATATAGGAGACAAAGCTTAACAACAGGTTTGTTCTTGGTTAAATTTGAAGTAGACTTTAAAAAACCAATAAACTGAGTTACTGGAAGTGGGGTTGCTAATAAAAGAGTTGAGAAAACATTTGAGAGGAGGGTTTTGGCACTTAACTTCTTGGCATTAAATACATGAGGGTGAAGTGGCCCAGAGGGCATTGATCAGCTGCTCTGCTCTGTTCTATGTTATAGCAGAGCCACGGGAATGGTTCTTAAATACCATTAATTATTTTATTTGCCTCTGTAATAAGCAAATCTTATAGTTAAAAATGTTTTCAATACATTATGCCCATTGGTTTACCATTTTAAATATGCAGAAAGTAGAACTTCGTTAGTCATAGGGCTTGAACTCTAGGCCTAGGTGCTGTCCCTGAGCAATTCAACTCAAGGATAGCATCCTACCACTTGAGCCACAGCGCCACTTCTGGTTTTCTGGTGGTTAATTGGAGATAAGAGTCTCACTGGCCAGGCGCCAATGGCTCACACCTGTAATTCATTCGATTCTCAGGAGGCTGAGATCTGAAGATCGTGGTTCAAAGCCAACCAAGGCGGGAAAGTCTGGGAGACTCTCATCTCCAATTAACCACCAGAAAACCAGAAGTGTCACTGTGGCTCAAGTCGTAGAGTGCTAGCCTTGAGCTGAAGAGCTCTGGGACAGCACCCAAGCCAAAAGACAAAAAAAAGTCTCGTGGACTTTCCTGCCCAGGCTGGCTTTGAACCGCTATCCTCAGATCTCAGCCTCCTGAGTAACTAGGATTTCAGGCATGAGCCACCCATGCCCAGAAAAAGTAGAACTTTTGCCTAGACTTCTCTACCACTTTTTGTGTGTGGAGCTTATAACTTTTGGCATATTCTGCCTTTTCAGTTTCCTCTGGGAGGTAATTTCAGCCAGAGAAATTAATGGCTTGTTACAGTACTAGGACAGGAGGCCAAAGTGGTCTCTGGAGGCCTCTCTCAGTTTTATGAGTCTAGAATAATTCTCGTCTTTCTAAAGTGTATATTCTGCTTTAAAATAACACCTAAAATGATGATTAAAAAATCCATCCTTTTACATTCTCCTGTGGGCTGAAGGAAACATTTTGTAATGTAAGTGAAATAGAAAAGAATAATAAGAACTTATGGTATTGAGTAAGTTTGAATTCTGAATATTTAATTCATACTACAAAAGCAATTTTCCACTAGAATGATAAACTATTAAAACAACTTTGAATACATTTAAACATTAATAAAATTCCTTCTAAAATTGTATTGCTTTAGTACTTGTTGTTTGCCTTCTGTTTAGTTCTAGAGAAAGGATATCAATAGTAGTACACCTCTTTTGTAAATATTGGGTATGACTATCATCAATTACTACAAGATTATGTTTGAGAACATAACCAGTAATAAAAGAGAAAGTAATATTTTATATTATCTATTAAATTAAAAGTTAGTCTGTGAATCTCCCCCCTCTCTATTGTTCCCTTCTAACCCACATAGCACAAACATGCCCTTGGCTGGCCACAGGTTCCAGCCTAAAGCCTGAGGCACAGAGCTCAAGGCAAGATGGTCCCTCCTTGTTCTGGGAGAATTATCTGCCTCACATTTTAGACCTTTTTTTTAGCTGTGTAGCTATCTGAACACTGTGTTGCTAATGGAAGATTTCCAGCTTACAAATCTTCCATCCAAAATGAGCTAAACTCATTTTCACACAAGTAAAACTTTCTCTAGGCCCCAAATTTTAAAATTTGGGGCCTAGAGAAAATTTTACTTGTGTGAAATAATCAAAATTAATTTAATAAAAACTTTTAAAAGTAGAGATTTATTTTCTCATGTCAAGAATACATTTAAAATACTATTCGTAGATGGATTTATGAACTTAATAGTTACATGCTAATGTGTGTAATTTTGTGGGTATATATGTGTGTATAGTTAGTATGTATATGTATATATAAATGCATATTTGTTCTGCCTTCATAAAGAGTGTAGGATCCTGTCATTTGTGACAAGATAAATGGATCTGAAAGACTTTATGCTAATTAAAAGAGTACATCATCTCACTTTTCTGTGGGTTCTAAACAAGTTGAGTCAGGGAATAGAATAGTGGTGGGGGGAGATTATGGGAGCTGCTGATCAACTGATGCAAATTTCAGTCAAACAAAAGGAATAGATTTTGATTTCTATTTCTATAATCAATAATGATGCATACTTTTAAACAAATAATGCAGTCAATTTCAAATATATCACCAATAAAATGATAAGTATGCAAGGTGTTATGTGACAATTATTTGACATTATACAGATATATCCAGATATCACATTGTACCCCATAAGTGTATACAATTATGATTTACTAACCAAAAATAATAAAATGTGTTTTAAGTAGGATTTAGGACAAAACATATTAATAAATATACTTCATGGTAAAATTTTATCAAAATATATTTCTTTTAAAATAGTAAATATGAACAACACATTTTAGACAGATACCACACCTAAGTTTGACTGAAAACATTGTGCTAATGATGATTATTTTGTGAAGTAGCAATATTTTGTGCTTGACTGCATTACATATTTGATATTCAATATGACACTTCTCTATGTTGATTTCAAATGTTTAGTCAATTTAAACAAAAATAAACAGAATTTAATTAAGTCAACTGCTTAAAATAATTAAGTCAACTAGTCAACCTAAAAGCTTATAGGCTAAAAATTTCAAATTAATTCTTGTAAATAAGCAAATAATATTTGCTACTTTGGTCAATTTTGCCGATCATATGTTTTCAATTGAAATGAGTGATTTTGTGAGAAAATGAACATAAAAGAATGTGACAATGTGTTAAAAAAATTCAAACAACCAGATATTACTTTTGTCAACCTTTTAAAGTCTATTACTTTAAAGAGCAAGACTATGTGGTAAATAAATCGTTGTATAAATTTATAAGTGCCACAAGCTTTCCTAAGAAACAAACGTTTTGTAAATAACTTTTTTAAAATTTCATTTTCCTTCCAAAATTAGTACTACATAGTTTGCTTACTTTTTTAAAGCCTAACATCTGTTGACTATAAGAGGCATAAACTGGGATAAGAAAATCATGTTGCTAGGAGCATTATTGTTATTTATAGTGTAAGATGATAAATAACACTATTTGAAGTTTTTAAAATGTTACATTTCAGAATACTTGGTGCCTTCTTATTTACTATTTGTTTATATTATGAAATAATATTAATTACAATCCTCATTGAATGGATGGATGGATGCCTGGATGGATGGATGGATGGATGGATGGATGGATGGATGGATGGATGGATGGATGGACAGGCAGATATGCAAGGAAGATATAGAGAAAAGTGCCAGAGATTATATCACTTTGACCTAACTCTTTATTCAGCAATCTGATATAACATGTCATAATAATTTGGGGGCATTTATTAAGAAGATTATTTATTCTTCATTCAACATTTTTTTCTTGGCATTTATTATTCCAAGCTCAGTAAGACATGGCAGATATAAAGGTACTTAGATTAAGAATCCAGGTAAAGGAAGTTTTCCCCCAGTTGGTTCCATATCAAACACAACCCCCCTTTGAATGTGCATGTTAATGATCATTCAGGTTCTCAGAGTAGAATCGTGCATGTTCATAGATGTGTCAAAAAATATCCCTTAAAATACAGAAAGGAATTTTTCTGGTGTAAAGTGAGAATATATTTTAAGTGAAGGAGAGAGGAATGACTGTGGAGTAAAATTGTCAAACTGTGATGCTGTTACTAAGAATGATTAGAATCCTAGTATT